AGATGTTCCTGTACACAATGCCAGCTACTTGGTTGTGCCATTCAATATATGCTGTTTCTGCCTGCATCATATATTTGTATGTGTGTGTGTGTGTGTGTGTGTGTGTATATATATATATACGGATTGTTTGTGCAAAATCGCAGTTCAACATAGTATAGCACATATGGACTCAGTCAGCAACCACACTTAAGTTCTGCTCATTAGTTTCAGTTTCCTGAATTTTAGTAATCCCATTGCTACTTGTCTTATCACTAGAATGCTTCAGTGAACCAGTTGTCAGCCACCGTTTGTCATCATGGTCCACACGTGAACTTGCCAACCAGCACTAAGTGCAGGGAGGCAGGGACTGGGGCAGAAAACAGGTTCTGAAGTGGCCAATTGACTGGTGATGAACATGGGGAGCCTGTGGTGGCCCTGTGGTGGACCTCCATATACCACCAATGATCTGTGAACTACAGTTTGAAAATCACTAGACCAGGGAGACAGCATGTTTATAAAACCCAAACTCAGATTTCTGTCATTGTTCCTCGGTCTCGCTTGAACCACAATCTGTTCTTTCAGCAGCCTCCTGGTTAAAACTGGCAGGGGGAGAAAGAGATTTGGAGAATCATCTCTTTTGATTGTCACCTAGCTTTCCCTGCTCCCATGGATACACATCACGAGAAAACACAACTTATCAACACTTATGTGTTAACATCTCAGAACAATCCACATTTATAACCCTGTTCACAAAACTTTGACGGCAAATCCATTACATTATTATTTAATTTCTATTTTCACATGATTTGTTTTACTATCACTGACTTATATTCCTGAGCTATAAAACTAAAATTAAGCATTTAAAAATACAGATTTCACTGAGAGTAGAAATACTGAGCATTTTTTCACATCCAGGAATGGTGATTGCCCAGTGTTTAAAAAAAAAATTAGGAAAAGGACTATATTTGTATCAAAGTTTGCTTAAAACTGAACTGAATAGGTCTTAGACATGGATTAAATATATTATTTGTTGATGACATAGATTATTCATAGCAAAACCATCTGTCATTATTTCCAATCTTTATCTGAATATCATAGCATAATAGTTCTAGTTTTAAGTTAACTATATTAGATTAACTGACAATCTATAAATAAATGGGAAAAAAATCTTACCTTTTCAAAAGTTTGCCATTGTTTCATTGGGTCCTGAATTTCAAACATGCAGACACAGGTCTCGGGAGCGGCTGGATCATGTGGTATTTCTAAAATTAAATACATACTTGATAGTTAAATTAAGGTTTGACCTTAGGCAACTGAAATACAAGCAGCCTACAGGAAAGTATGACACACAATTACTCCAAAGTCTCATCAAAGGTTATCTGAAGTCTAACAAATATAATAACATTATTTGCCCCATTATCGACTCATCCTATGGCCATTAAGAAAACAAATGTATTTGTTTATTTAATTTGATATACTGCTGACTATTCAATTCTCTCCTGGTTTGCAATTTTAAAAAAATGACTTACTGTATGATGTTAAAATTGTGCGATTAAACTGATCACAACATTCCCCATTAATTGTAATAAAGAGTAGATTGAATTCAGCCAGATTCCAAATGCTGTTTGGACCACTTCAATGAAGAGCTTCCCTATGCAAAATATTTTTGAGAGCTGCACCCTAAAACAATCTATGACATAATCAAGCCACTATATTTGATGTGTATTCTTTTGATCTTAATTTTTTTTCTGCTGTAATATCATCACAACACTACATTAGAGTTTCTGTTACATTGGAGATATCAGATTTATTTATAATATTTATATACCAATTCCCCATAGTTTCTCAGTTTATAACACATCTATAAAACCATAGATTTATAGATATAAAACTTGATTAAAACTGTAATCACAACATTGCATCCTGTTAACATCATAAATTAAGAGCTCTGGAAAGTACTTGGGGAGGACACCATCTAGATCTCTGAGATTAAGCTATTCCATAGGAATGGAGCACAGACTAAAAAATGTGTCTGATTTCCCCTCCCTGACTTTCACAAGATGGTGGGATTCTCAACATCCCAATGTGGAACACATGGACTGGATGGATTGGTTCTACTTAAAGGGACCAGGGTGCCATGCCATATAAAGCTTTAATAGGTAACAATCAGCACTTTTGAAATAGGAAGCCTATTTGGCAACCAATGCAGGGTCCCCGAACATTGGCATTATATGATTCTGGCAGCTCTCACCCACCATAAGGCAAACTGCTTTATTTTATATCAGCTGTAACTTCCAGTCCTCAAAGGCAGCCCCATTTAGAGTGCATTGCAATCATCTGTCCTACAAGTGAGAAGAGTGTGAGTGACCATTGCTTCAGGTAGGACCACAACTGGAATTCTAGCTCTAAGTTGAGCAAAGGCTACCTTAGCCACAGCCTCCATCTATCCAGCAATTTCTGTGAGTCTAGAGCAGTTTCTCAACCTTAGGAACTCTAAGATGTGCGGACTTCAAGTCCCATTTGGAATTGAAGTCCACTGTTCTAGAGGATCACCAAGTCACAGATCTGCTTCTTCAATGAGTGCTACACCAACTGGAGTTATCCTGGAATAGCTGAAGAACCAGAGTGGGACAAGCAGCATCTCTATCCTCATCCACTTTTGGGCTGCATTCCAGTTGTTGAAAACTGTGTTAATCTAGATTGCCAGATAGCACACACACATTTGTAAGTACATGCAACAGGAGGAAAGACTATACTGACAAACACTATTAAATTACCGAGTCCAGCACTCCTCAGCAAGACATCTCTAAACTTCAATTCTTAGTATTCCTCCCCAAGTTCTGGGATTTGGGCCACACATTTGAAGCATTCCTCATCATTGGCTATGCTAATTGGGATCACTGAGCTATGGCTTACTATACTGTACCTGGGAAAACCAGAGATTTTCCAAGTCTCAAATTTCCAGAGAAGTCTCCATGTTTCTATTTTCAGGCTAGAAACCAGGAGACTGTGAGTTCTAGTGTCATCTTAGGCACAAAGCCAGCTGGGTGATCTTGGGCCAGTCAGTCACTATCTCTCAACCCCAGGAAGCAGGCAATGGCAAACCACTTCTGAAATCTTGCCAAGACCTCTGCAGGGACTTGTCCAGGCAGTCACCAGGTGTCAAGACTGACTGGAAGGCACCAAAGGAAAAAAAAGGAGGGAGGGAGGAGGAAAACAAAGACAAAAAACAGAACTGGGCAGCAAAACTCCTTTGCTCCCTCACTAGATGGGAGTGAAGAGATAACTTTACTGCTATCTCATGGATATCCAAATTGTTGCAACTCAGACTGAGTCTCCTAATCTTCTAGTAAAATCAGCGAAGAGTTAATTTGTGACTCGCAAAAGCTTATAATAAAATTGTCAACCTTTCATCATGAACATTTATCGCAGACTTAGCACGTGTTGCAGAATAGCTGAGAAAGAAGACAATCCATAAAAATAGCTTTTTGTTTCAACTCACTCTCTCGATACAGCATCAATTGTCCAGTCTTTTAAAACGACTGCTACTGAATATTATTGACATGATGATGATAATTATTGACATGATGATGCTTCCTAATATAAAGGAGTTGAACTCCAATTTCCAAGTAAGAAAGTGTTTCTCAACTTCAACTTTAAGACGAATGGACTTCAACTCCCACAAATCCTTCCTTCACCCCCCGTGCGCTATGCACTGCGCCTCTCTGCCCGTTCCC